GACTAAATATCTCTTCTTGATATTCCCTGCTCACATGATTTCAAAGTTCCATTGTGTTTATCAAAATAATCACTTTCATAGTTGGCAGTACCTGTCAGTGGTGGTTTCATGGACTGGGAGAGTCTCCTGGTTGGGTTTTGATCGAAAGAGGGGTCATTTAGTCTTTTTTTTTTTATCTTTCTGGTTATTTAAAAATTATTTCCAGCTTTCACTCTAGTGTTACCTTATTAAGAAAACTATAAAGCAAGTGGTTTTTTTTCTGAATATGAAATGCCACTACAAAAAAAATTCTGTAAAAAATGTACAGCTTTTGGCCCTCCCTGGTAGCGCAGCGGGTTAAAGCACAACACTAAAGCCGCTTCCGCATGAGTTCAATTCCCGCCTGCCCCGGAGGTGACCACATGGTGTGGCAGACCTCTCCTGAACCGCCCGCTGCTCCCCTGAGCAGTGTACTTCATAGATCTGCCTGTTCTGTTCCCCACTCTGTCTCTGGAGAAGCCTCTCACCGCCCCTGAGCCTCTGGCCTGTACCCCAGTTCTGTATGCACAAATAAATAAATCTTAAAAAAAAAAATGTACAGCTTTTACACCTGGCATGACAGTCACAATGCAACTTTTAGTATTATTTTGGTACCTAGAGATTTGTTTAAAATCAGAACCATGAAGAAACTGCGACTTGGGAACCATGAAGAAACTGTGACTTGGGATTTCATAGTTTGAATATTTGAATGTAGATTCTGGAGTTAGTATAGTTACAAAGAAACTATACTAGTTTCAGAGAAATTACAGAAGATTTTCTTTCATAAGCATGAGCAAGTTGGTAAGAATGAGGCATGGCAGTGCAGGTTAACAGATGATGCTTGTGGTTCCTGATGTTGAGGTTGTAGAAACCATCGAAGTTGGATCAAGAAAAGAAACTGAACTCAGTTGAAGCTGTGGTGGTATAAACCAGAGCCACTCAAACTATGATCCTGGAAGCAACATCACCTGGAAACATGAAAGAAATGCAAATGTGTGCCCCCCCCCATCCTATGATAGGAATCTGGGCATCGAGCTCAGGAATCTATTTAACAAGCTTTCCAGGTGATTGTTATATGCCTTTAACGTTAAAATGCAGGGCTATAAGTAGAGACAGGCTTTCCAAGTCAAAAAAACTCCAAAGGTGGTTGCTGAAGCTGAGTTGGTTTGAGTGAGAAGACAAGACTAAAAATACAAAAAATTAAAACAATATCAGCAATAGGTAAGTGAAGTTATGAGGATAATAAGCTCTGGGTAGAAAGACACAGGAGAGCCTTCACATAACTCAGAAGTTTTACTGAATGTTGAGCTTCTCTATTAGGTATTGTTTATGCTCAGTTTAGAAGAGAGCAAGGTCAAGTATTTATAGAATGAACTTTGTAAAAGTGGGGCCTGTCCCCTACTGGGTAGAATTGAACCTCTGAAGAGTCAAAGAGAGTAACAGAAGATGTTACTGTACATAATCTTATTAAGTTTGTACTATTAACAAAGAGTACATAATTAGAATAGATTTTAGTGGATCCTTCCTGGTGGCGCATGGAGTTAAAACGCAGCACTGTGAAGCTATCTGCAGCCACTGTGGCTCTAGTTTGAACCCCCACCAGGAAGTTGACCCCCATGGTGCAACAGCCCTCTCTCCTGTCTCACCCACTTCTCCCCTCAGCAGTGTATTTCAATAGATCTGCCTGTTCTGCTCCCTACTTTGTCTCTGGCGAATCCTCTCACCAGTTTTTTTTTGTTTTTTTAAGATTATTTATGTATACAGAACATGGAGCACAGGGGCAGTGAGAGGATTCACTAGAGACAGTAGGGAGAGAACAAGCAGATCCCCAAAGTACGCTGCTGAGGGGAGCAGTTGGTGGGTCAGGAGAGGTCTGCTGCACCATATGGGTCACCTCCCTGGCCAGGGATCAAACTTGGCTGAAGAGACTGCAGCTAGCTTTGCTGTGCTGCACTTTAGCCCATTGCGCCACCAGGGAGGGTACTTGCACCCCAGTTCTTGCATGCTTAAATGAAAAATAATTAAATTTAAGCAACTGAAGATTAGGGCTCCCCAAGATGTTTGGAGGAGGTCTTCCCAAGTATTGCCATCTGGTCTTGGGGATTATTTCAAGATGAGGCCAGTCAGTGTCCTGCAGAATCACAAAGAAATTTTGCTACCCCCTTAACCTAAAAGAAGGAAAATTAGGGTCTTATCCAGGACTAGGCTTGTTACCAGAAATAGTCTTCCTATCTGAATAGTCAGTCTATACGGCAGACATCTCTTTACAGAGCTGTGGGGTAAGTGAATTGATCAGGCTTTTTAGGCCTATTAGTGTTTGTGGCTATCACCTGCAGCCTTGATCATGTTGATGCAGAGAAGCATGGTTGTGGGGCACGTGTGCCTGATTGTGGAGAATGGGTGTGCACACCTGTACCTAGCGGGCCTGAATATAAGGGCCTTGTTGCTCAGCGATGAGGCGGGGAGGACAGCTGTGAGAGGCATGTCTGCAGAAGAGGCCAGAGGAGAGAACACGAGAGGGAGCCAGGAAAAGAGTAAGGCGAGGAGAGAACACGAGAGGGAGCCAGGAAAAGAGTAAGGCTTCATGGGGGTGTTGGGAGGCTCCATTGCCTTCAGAGCCTCCCAGTCCCCCTTTCCTTCCACTCTGCCTTGCCAGCCTGCTGGCTTGCTGTCACAAGAACATACTGTTTTCTTCCTCTCTCCCTGAATCCTAGGCCCCTTTTTCTTTTCCTACCTCATTTTGCCCCATTGGCTTTGGAATCTACATGTGTATATAGGTTCTTTTTGTGTAATTAATCTTTCCTCCTATAAATCTGTCTCATACTGATTTGATTATTAGATCAGTCTGAGAAGAAACTGGGATGAGGGGAGGTTTTCCCTCCTTCCTAACACTCAACACTATTGGTGTAGCGTATAATTCTTTGCAGATGGTTTCATTTCTAAGAAATGCTTATTCTAAGAGTGTTAAATGTATTGAAGAGAAGAAGTTGAATACTGAAATAGTCTTGGCAATTTGTTTTAGAAGAGATTCTTGATCCATAACTCAAAACTTCTGAAGTGTTGCATCAAAATGTGCATTTAAAAAAATAGGAGATTCAGATGCTTGGCCAAATTTAGAAACAACTAGGAGACAAGCATAGGTATAAACCAATTTCTTCCTTTTTTCATTTCTGAATATTTTTGGCTCAGATAAATGCTTCTATACTTCCTTCAAGTTTACACTTATGTTTTAGATCCCTCCTTCCTGTCTTTTTCTCCTTGGTGCCTCCCCACTATAAAATTTTTCTTTGGCCCCTTGATTGAAATCCATATATCCAGTAATTTCCCTTCATTTGAGTGCAGTTACCTGTCTCTAGTCCTGCTTGTTGATTTTATGCCACATTCTTTCAAAAGGCTGTGACTTGCTCTGCATTTCCTAGGTTCCCAATTTCAGGGAAAGACTGACTCTGCTGTTTAAAAAGTTGTCAAAGATACTAAATATGAATTTCAGTGGTTCTTTTCCCACTCTTGGTTGTGTATAGTCCTACAATCTTACAGTTGAGTCTCAAACTCTGGTTCAGTTCATTTCTTGTCTAATGTTTCCAAATCACAGATCTGAGAAATTTCGGTACACCCAGGTCTAAACTTGCCATTTGGAGGGATTAAAGAAATATTTAAGTTTTGATCCCCAAACAACATACAATCTAGTGCAAAGTAAAGATTGATACACTTCAAAGACCTACATAGTGAAACAAATTGCTGAGGAGTCCCAAGTCCACAGCATTGTTGCTTAAATTGTGGTCTGAAAATCACTACATTAGAAGCACCAGGGAGCTTGTTAAAATACACTTGCATATGGATCAGCAAGGCAGGTGATCCCAACGCACATAAGTTTGAGTGCCACTGTAAGGTGACTGTCATGTACCTTCCTTTTCCCACAATGCAGTGATGGTGTACTGATATTTGTACAGTGAATAATTACCAGTAATTACTCCTTGAGAGCACCTTGCCTTTATTTTTAAAGATTTATTTATTTATGCATACAGAACTGGGGTATGGTGCAGGGGTGAGAGGATTCACCACAGAGTGGGAAGCAGAACAGGAGATTGACTGAAACACACTGCTGAGGGGAGCAGCGGGCAAGACAGGAAATGTCTGCTGCACCACGTGGTTCAGCTCCCTGGCCAGGCATCGAACTTGTGCTTCAGATAGCTTCATAGTACTGAGACTTCACCCCTTGGGCCACAGAGAGGCCCTGTAGGAAACATTCTCTAAAGTGACTTTTAAAAGTCACTTTGAGTTTTGTAATTTCAACTAGGGTAAAGTTGTGAGTGATTTCTTCAGAAATCCTTTATTTTTATGTTATTGTTAAAGATTTATTTGTACATATAGAACTGGGTACAAGCCAGACGTGCGGGAATTAGAGGACTCACCAGAGATAGAGTGGGGAGCAGAACAGGCAGATTAATTTAGTACACTGCTGAGGGCAGCAGTGGGTGAGACAGGAGAGGTCTGCCACAGGCTATGTGGGTCACCATCTTGGCTGTGGATGGAACTGCAGTAGCTGCAGATTAGCTTCACAGTGCTGTGCCTTAATCCTTTGCAACACAAGGAGGGCCCAGAAGTCCCTTTTTGAAGTCAGTGAGTGGGCCTTCCTGGTGGCGCAACGGGTGAAGTGTGCCACAGCTGCTTTAGCACGAGTTCCCATCACCAGCCAGGGAACTGACCCACATTGCGCAGCAGACCTCTCCTGACCCACCCGCTGCTCCCCTCAGCTGTGTGCTTCTCAGTTGGCCTGCTTCCCACTCTGTCTCTGGTGAATTCTCTCCCTGCCCCTGTACCTCTGGCCTGTCCTCAGGTTTTGTATGCGTAAATAAATGAAGTCAGTGAGCTATGAATAGAAAGGGCAATAGGCAATGAATTCCCCACGCTGCTTCCCTCACCACAGCCTCTTGGCTTGCTCATCTGCTCCTTAGCTTAACCTTTCCTTTTGTTGGTTTCAGGTGGAAAACTGTCTGTGGTCCTACATGTTGAAGCTGTCTCAGAGTTCCTGCTAGAACCGTCCACGTCTGCACTTGCCAAGGTGATGACAACCCAAAGAAACAGTTATGAGGAAAGTTATGGTTTTGATTTTATTTGTTTTAAAAGATTTATTTTAGCATGAGGAGGAGAGTCACGAGAGACAGAACAAGGAACAAAACAGGCAGGCTGATGAAGTATACTGCTAAGGGGAACAGTGGGTAGGTCAGGAGAGTTCTGCCAGTTGTGATTTTAATTTTAAAAATGAGAACTTTTTGTCTTTGGCTTGACATTTTTATATAGTTCATTCATCTGAGTAGTATCATTGCACTAGGTTCATGATTACTCTAAAAACAAAATCTGATTACTTGTAGCTCCAGCTATTGCTTTGTCAAGTGTCAGCTTTTTCCTACATAATCAAATGCCTCTGTTAGCTCTGAATTTAAGATTCCAAAAATAGCTTATTGGAATTAGAGCATAAAGAGGTTTTTTTCTTTTTTTAAATAATGTTCTCTCCAGTGTACCCATGTTGGATTACAGCTCCTCTAAACACAACTGTTAAGGTGTAATTTTAATAAGAGTTATGAAAACATCTCAAAGTAAACAGCTTTGACCCTTGTAATGTTGAATGCTAGGCAGTGTAGAAAAACAGAAAAAGTACGTTTTGTACTCTGTGCTGTGATGGAGGTCCCATAAGTCATGGTCCATGTCTTCATAATTACTAGCTCAAGAACTTAAAATTCATGAGTGATAAGGTCGTGAATAATCAGCTCAAGACTGATTATATGGCAAGAATGCCATCTAAATTAATTTACAAGGGGCAATAACTGCTATCAGGTATGAACTCAAGAGACCAAAGTGCTGATCAGAAAAGTGCTTGTTGAGCAATAGTCTTTGAACTGGTATCTTTGCCCCAATCTATGCCATGGCTCATCTTCCAAAAGCAACTTTGGTCAATTTCCTGTTTGGAAGCAACACTGCCCTGAACTGGAACAGATTGCTAGGGCTCTTATTTATAGAAACCCTCTCCCACTCCCACTCCCACTGAATCTGTATGCTGTGCTTTCTTTTTTCCAAAAAGATTCATGCATACAAGAACTGGGGTACAGGCCAAGGTACAGAGAAGATTCACCAGACAGAGTGGGTAGCGGACAGGAGGACTGACTGAAAAACACTACTGAGGGGAGCAGCTGGAGGGTCAGGAAGGGTCTGTCATACCATGTGGTTCACCTGCCTGGCTGGGGATCAAACTTGTGCTGCAGTGGCTGTGGATAGCTTCATAGTATCGCTTTAACCCATCGCACCACCAGGGAGAGCCTGATGTACTTTCTTACTGCTCCCCTACATTCCATACTTGATGCCTTTCCTGTCCTTAACTTCCTCAAATGATTTCTAACAGAATTCTCCTATTTTTAATATTCAATGAATGTGCTCTTCATCAGTAGACCTTGCCTAATAATATTCCTTTGCTCAACTGATGCATTATCTCCAGCTGGAGCCTTTCGATTACATACAGTTCCTAAACTTTAATATATATCAGAATCACCTGGAGAGCTAGCAAAGCACACAGAGGTCAATGCTTACTGTGGAGGGTTAGTCCTGGACTCTCAAGGCTACCTAAGTCCCCAGGTGACTAGTCCCCACTGAGGTTTGAGAACCACTGATGTGGATTTTTCTTACAGCACTTCTGATTCCCTATTTTGATGGATTTACTATCTTTATCTTTAAATGTGAAATTTCACCCACTTTTCCCAGCATCATGACTTTTGGATGTAGGAACACAAAGACCTTGTGTTGCAAGGGATTGAAAAGCCAAAGCAAATGCTGAGAGGGTGGTTGGGTGAAGGTTGAAGGGATAACTTGCCAAAGTGGAGTACCTTTGTGGAATGTTTGGTAGACAGTGAGGACGGCTCGATAAAGCCAAGGGATCCAGTGATGAGTCAGTATCTAAGTGTAATTGGTAGCCACCAGATCCCGTTAGATGTGGTTTTGGTCCTGAGGTAACAGGTGGTGGGATAGAAATGGAGCGGTCAGCAAGGTTTGTTAAGAGAAGTGAGTAGGGTATCACAATGGTACCTGTGCTTAGACTGACTAAGAGTTTTAGATCGGAGCATATGTAGGCCAGACACAAGAGGGGAGTCTTTAACTAGAGCATATGTAGGCCAGACACAAGATGGGGATATCAAAGACTACAACCATAACAGCTATGTTACAGAATAGAATGGTCAGTAAGGAGCCAACTGTGGTGGACTTTGACCTCTCATTTGAAAGCCAGTGATGATAGCCTACAACTAAACCAAAATGCTGAAAGAACCCAAGTGGGGTCAACAGAGATGACTGTAGGGTCAATTAATGAATGCGGGCTCCTCTGCTGCCATCCTAGTAGAGTGAGTGGTTGAGGAGGGTGCTGTGGGGCAGCTCTGACCTCTGACTTCCTTCTTAGTGCTCACCTGCTGGTTGGGAACCCACCATTTCTGACATACAGTACTTCACTCACTCATGTAGTTACTTACATTTATTGAATACTTACTGTTTGCCAAGCACCTTGCTGAAAACAGTTGATGTATTTCCAACAATAGGCACATCCACATACAAATCTCATTCAAATCAGTTTCTCTTCTACCTGCTTTTCTTTTGGAAAATCCCATTTTGGAATATTTGGTTGTTGTTTTTAAGATTTATTTATTTATGCATACAGAACTGGGGTATAAGCCAAAGGTGCAGGGGTGGGAAGGGGATTCACCAGAGACAGAATGGGGAGCAGAGCAGGCAGATTGACTGAAGTACACTGCTGAGGGAAGCAGCAGGCGGGTCAGGAGAGGTCTGCCACGCCATGTGGGTCACCTCTGAGGCAGGGATCAAACTCATGCTGAAGCAGCTTTAGCTTCATAGTGCTGCGTTTTTAACCCGTTTTGCCACCAGGGATGGGCCCCACTTTGGAATAGGGGGAGAAACGAGAATATTTCTGAATAGTTCATTGCCTTGAAATTGCTTCTGCTCTAACAACTATTTACTTATTTCTAGGATGCAGTCGATTTCCTCTCTCTTGATTTATCATATGAATGCCGAAGTGAGGCAAGTTTATCAGAGAAGCTGAGCCAATTGCAGGTAATTTGAGCTACCTATATTGATGATGAATGCTGAGGGTTCCTGAGAGCATTTTAGACACTTGTTGCTTTGGCTAATGTATATAAATTGAACTTCCACCAGTCAGCAAACCTGCCAGGTTGCATCTGAGGAGGTTTTCATCCAAAACCTGAGGGAGCAGTGGGAGACTAAGCAGCCTCTGTGAGGAAGGCTAGGGTAATGAGGGTCAGCCTATTAAGGTACACACATGGGTCTTTGCTCTTTTCTGTAGAAATCTACTGAGAATCAAAATTTCAATGTTAACTTCTGAGTTTTGAGAAGGCATTTCATGTTTGGTGGTGATAGATGAATAATAATGGAACATACTTAATGCCACTCAATTATACAGTTAGAGGTAGCTAAGAAGGCCAATTTTACCTAGATCTATTAAATCAGATCCCCTCTATCAGGTCCTTATAACTTCAGGCCCCTTCTTCCTGTCTCTGGTATTATTTTGCTCAAGCCTGGTGATTGTGATTCCATAGAGAAAGTATGTTAGGTAGACACCTAAGTGTTCTACTAAGTGTTAGCTTTCTTTCATGTGTTTAGTCATTGCTGTGCAGATTGCTTATTTTCCTGTAATTCTTATCATTCCCCCATCTTGTGGCACCATTTTCCCATCTCCTGACAGAGTATAGCTGATTATATACACAGTGGTTGCTCTCCAGACCTCCCTAGCACTAGTCCTACATTTATGTCTCAAGAGTTGCCTTTGTTCCAGTCTCTCAGATGCCTGCCACTAGAATTTATCCATGCCTTATTCATACCTCTGTAGGTTTAGGTGCAACACTCTCCCCTCTGCACTCAATTCTCTGCCTTCAAGGAAGGCAGGTCGAGTAGCCAGTAGTGTCTGACTCCTGGTATTGAAATCTACCACCTCCACCACGGAGGATGGGTTGTCAAAGGAATTACCAATTTAAACACCAAATTCACCAATGCCAAGTTAGCATTGCTTGGTGGGACCTCCATTTTATCCAATGAAGGAAGTTTGAAGTGTTCACATTAGCGTTAGCCCTGAAGTGTATATTTGACCTTTATGATCCCCATGTTTTGGTTTTCAGGTGACCCATGTTTATACTTCTTTTGTTACTATAAAAATGGTCTAATCAAAGGAAGCAGATGTATTCCTGAGACATTTGGGTAATAGCGACTATAATTTTAGTGCCTGTTCTAAATCTATACCAGGCACTGTGTGGAGCTCTTTATTATTTTTGCCCCTGGTAGCACAATCCATGACATAATGAAATGTGACTAAAGTCAGACGCCTGGTTATGGAAGCAAGGCTTTCTCATTGTAAGCTCCAAAGCAAACATGACTTCAAGGTTTTGAGGACATTTTAACAAAGCTAACAAATCACATGTGATTTTAGTTATTTGTATAAACTTTCTCACCCAAATCTGAACTTGCTTGTAACCTACAGCTTGTGCTTATGGGTTTGCTGTCGAAATTTCTGGATCTTAAATAACACTATAGTGCCTTCAGGTCCTGCTGGCACATGTTACAACTAAATGTGCTTTTTGTCTTCCTCAAAGAATTAAACCATAGCTTCTTCCTATAATGGGTTCAGATACCATTGACTTTTTAAAACTAAGTTAGATATCTCTGGCATGTCTTAGAGGCAGTCAGAAGAATGGTGACTGGATTTTTGCTTCAGGATGTGCATTACAACTCTTTCCCATTTACATCAAAACATATTCGAGTGGATGGGAACTATAGTGGCCAGTTAGCCAAAGGATAAAACCTTCCTGGACAAACATAACCGTCTACTACACTCTGTAATTGTTCTTTAGTTTTAATTCCTTAGGTAGGAATTGTATTCTAGGTGTTGCTCTTAACAACTTACATGCAGCTCTAAAGATCCATCATGAATACTCTAGTCACACAGCAGTGAAAACGGAGCTGCAACAGAAACTGCCTTCTTTGTACTGGTAGACAGGTAGCACATAGTTAACACCTGGAACGGGAAGAACAGCTGTATTTCCCCCAAGGATGGAAGGAAGACTGACTGCTTTCCACAGGACCCGGAGTTGAGCTGCCCATAACTTCATTGGCACATACTCTCCCTCCTTATCTCCTCTTGCAGTGGTCTCACCCTTCAGCTGTGAGGGAAGCGCGTGAAGACAGGGCAGGGAGTTGCCCACCTGGTGACAGGCAGGACATAATGGGGACTTCAGGGGCCCTTCTTGTACACAGGCCAGCCACTATGTATGAAAGGAGCATGCTCTTGGTTCTCTGAAGGTGCCATTCTGGATGGCTTGACTATCTTCTGTTGATGCAGTACAGGGAAAGGACAAGACTGTGGAGCTGAAACTCCACTGCTGAGATTCTGAGTGACTTACTCGGCTTCTCAGAAGCTGACGGTACCTCATGTAATAAGGAGGGATATTGTTTTGTTTTGTTTTTAAAGATTTATTTATTCATACAGAACTGGGGGACAGGCCAGAGATGTGGAGGGTGAGAGGATTTACCAGAGACAGAGTGGGGAGCAGAACAGGCAGATCGACGAAGTACACTGCTGAGGGGAGCAGCGGGCGGGTCAGGAGGTGTCTGCCGTACCATGTGGATCTCCTCCGGGGCAGGCGGGAATCGAACTCATGCGGAAGTGGCTTTAGCTTTAACCCGCTGTGCCACCAGGGAGGGCCAGGAGGGATATTGTTAACAGGCAACTGAATGTAAAGAATGTGCCTGCCTCATTTATAAGTAGTTGCTATTGGTATTGGTATCTCATTGGCCTTTAAGCCCTGCAAGGAGGAAAAAGTTAGTGTGAAAAATGATCCAATCCATTCTCCCCAAAGAAAATAATTTTAAAGACCTATCATACAACAGATCAAAGTAGAGCTGTTTCTTTTGACAGTGAAATAGCTAGAATTGGAAGGGAAAATTTTATTTGTCCTGATTTTAATGAAAGCAACTCACTTAAATGTTTTATTATGGGACATGTCAAATATATTAAAGGTAGAAAGAAAATCATAATGTAACCCCTTGAAACCATTGCCAGCTTCAAAACTATCAGCTCCTGGCTGGCTTTGTTTCATCCATATGCTGCCTTTCCCCTCCATAACCAGATTGCTTTAAAACAAATTTCAAACAGCCATAAATACCATGATGGTCACATCTTGATGAAGCTGCTTGTAGTAACACATTCTCTGACATGAAGTCCCTGGTTCTAACACAGTGCCTAACCGTGATACAGCAGGTGCCTCGTAGCCTGAGGTGGAGCTACAGGGGAACTTGTCTCTAGTGGGACTGAAGGGGAGGGTGACCTATGTTATTCAAAAGTGTGGTACTTCACTTGAGTGTCAGTTTTCTTTACTGAGATAACTAGTTATCTCCAAAGTCAGAGTCAGTTGTTGTAGGCTTTTGAAAGTCTGTTATCAAAATACTTATTCTGGGTACTTTCAGTTCACTTGCTGGTGTTTCTTTTTCAGACTGTTGAACCGAAAGTGAAAATTTTCATCTTTAATCTCAAAGTGCAGGACTGCCCCTTCACCAGAAAAAAGCCAGCCAGGTTGCTTGTCAGCCTTCTTAAAGGTGAGTGAACCACTGATAGAGAGATTTAGCCATGTTTATTATGCTGACTTGCGGGGTGGCAGTATGAGTAGCTCCAAGGGGAGGAGCGACCAGAGGAGTATTACAGGTTCCATGTCCCTTGACATCCCATTAACAGTCTTCTGGTCATTTTGGCTCACAAAGAGAGGATCTATACAAGGATTCCTCCATTTACGGAGATTAGGCCACGAGGCCTCTGCTCTCCAAGTGGATGCATGGAGACTGCTCCTGGCTGCTGTTCTTTCCACTACCTCTCCCTCCAGTCAACTCTGCAGCCTCTTTCTCCTTACTTCAGCAGGGGCAGATACTTGCTACACATGGCAGGAAGAGGCCAATGACAAGTTCCAGGATGAACTAGTAATACTTAGTCCAGTCAGATTATTTATTAAATTTCTTCTCTTACAGCAACAGATAAAAACCAAATGCTCATCATTGGCTCTGATATCAGTACATTCTTGAGCTGTTCATCAAGTTTGAAAAAAAGGTAATGTTACATTTCCTGTTGAACTACCAACAGAGTAGTCTTTCCCATTGGGGTGACCTCGTTGGGGTGTTGTCATTCACCTCAGGGGTCAAGGAATTTATTGTGGTCATTCTACAGATGAGAGATGAAAGGTCAGTGGACAGGATGGAGTGAGACTCAGGCCCAACATGGTTGTGCATTCTTAACCTGTCACCTGCGTCCAAGTGCATCCACCTAGCAGAGTTGGAATTTGAACCCCCCACCTTCTAGTTAAAGATCTTATTGGAGGGCCCTCCCTGGTGGCACAGTGGGTTAAAGCACTGCACTGAGAAGCTTAAGCCACTTCCCCATGAGTTCGATCCCTGCCTGCCCCGGAGGAGATCCACATGGCATGGCAGACCCCTCCTGACCCGCCCACTGCTCCCCTCAGCAGTGTACTTCGTTGATCCGTTGATCTGCCGGTTCTGCTCCCTGTTCTGTCTCTGGTGAATCCTCTCATCCTCCGCATCTCTGGCCTGTACCCCAGTTCTATATGAATAAATAAATCTTAAAAAAAAAAAAGATCTTATTGGAGATAGAGCAGGCTGGATTAAAGACAGATAGTGCCATCCCACAGAATTTCCATAAGCTGAGTAAGAGAGGTGAACTCTCTGCCTCCATTTCCCCATGAGAAATGTGAAGCTTCTTTTCTACAATGAGATAGCTGGGAAAGTCAGAAGTCTAACTTCTGTGTTCTCAGGTCAGAGATTTTATTTTATCTATTTACTTATGCATACAAGAACAGGGGTATAGGCCAGTGACATGGGGTGGGGGCAGTGAGAGGATTCACTAGAGACAACTTGGGGAGAAGAACAGGCTGATCTACTGAAACACACTGCTGAATGGGGGAGCTGTGGGCAAAACAAGAGAGGTCTGCTGCACCAAGTGGGTTAATTCCCTGGCCAGAGATCGAACTCATGTTGCAATGACTGGCAATAATTTGGTAGTGCTGAGACTTTAATCACTGCGCCATCAGGGAGTACCTAGAAGCTCCCCTTTCTATGGAGATTACACTATCACAGTTATTCCCATAGCTGCATCACTCTCAGATTCCTATGTCCAAGTTTTTTTCAGATGAGCAAGGAAAAGGTAAAGGGGGATTATCATGGGGAATTTGCCAGAACTTGACCTCTCCATGGTGTTTTACACGGAGGCTTATGAACCTTGCATTAAAGGAAAACAGAGGCTGGAGGCAATCATTTGGCTTCCCAGACTTCAGCTGCAGTTCACTTTATATTTCACCTCTGACATTTCTGCTGCAGCTCTGTCCAGGGCATAAATTTCAGTTTTCCTTGAACTGTGAACTTTTATTTCCTAAAACTTGGCAGCCCCACCTTTGCCTGTTGGGATTCTCTCAATCCACATCAATTCAGCAATTTAGTTCAATAGGCTTCAAGCTGAGCTGCTACCTTGTGTAGGATTTGTAGTGGGAAGATGAACAGTGTGGTCAGCAGGTAGATCAGGCTGTCTCCAAGCCACACATGCAGACAGCTGGGGAGTGCTGGACTTTCTGTACAATGACAGAGTACCCTGAGCGTTCAATGATTACAAAACCATAAGATGACATGTCTAGGTCAGCCCCAAGGGCCTCTAACATCTTGACGTTGTGATACCTTGCCTATAGCCAAGGTCCATAACATTAAAGTGATGACCAGAAGCCTCACTCATATGGACATTGAGTGAGGACAACTCCTCAGGTAGAGGACAGGAGAGGAGACTTCCAAAAGGAATAACAATTATTTTTTCTTGAGACATTTAGACTTCACAGGGGTCCATAAGTGATGAAAACCAGTGATAATAAGCACAGCTTCCAGAGGGAAATAGAGCATGATGTGGAGTGCTCTGGGTCTGTTTAAAGTGTGTGTGGAGGAAGAAGTGGGTGGGTACCAGGAGGGCTGATCATGGATTGAGGCTCCTGTACTAAATCTCTCCCCAAATTAAGCAGTGCTGGGACTTGTAGTGCCAAGGCCTCTACAGCAAGTTTTATTTCATGCAGGGCTATTTCTTCATGGCCTCTTTTCTGCAAGCCAAAGCTTGAGTATTCAGGTCAGGCAGTTTGGGTCAACAGCTGAGGTAGCTGGTGCCCATTCTGATTGTACACCAGAACCATGTATGTGTTTGGATAATCCTCAGCTTTAGGTTGTTTCCCCTCTTCACTACTAGAATAGATAGAGAGGGGTGATGCTTCCTAAAACGGGAGGTACTTAGTGTTGGGAGGCCCGCAGAGGGAGACCCCTCTAAATGCGCCTGTCACTTCTACCAGTTCTGTACTGAGCCAACCTGGTTGGTGTGTGATCTGCTCACCACGTGATGGCCCTGTGGCTATGCGATACTCTTACACTCCACCCCTGCCTCCAGTGTGTGGTTCTTTTCTCCAGACAACACACTCTTTGGCCAACCCTTCCTCTAGGTTGTCCTCTCTGGCATAACTGCTGCACTCTGTGGCATGGGGCTTTCCAGCCTGCAGGGCATGCATGACTCAGATTAAGAAATCAATTTAGAGTTTGATTTGAAATGTCAAAGAACCAACATTTTCTGAACAATAGGAAAGAAACTAGACTATAATAGAAAAATATTGACTTCATTATATATTAAGAATAGTATTTTGTTTTATTTCTGATATTTCCTATTTCTGAAATAATAGAACACAAAATATATATGGGCACATAAATGTCTGCACATTTACATAATACAAGATAATCTGTGTTAAAAACAGGCTTCTACTACTTGTAAGTTATGTGATCAAAGAAAAGTTCTAATTAAAAAAATCAACAGGATATGAATTGATAAACATAGAAATGTCTAAAGAGGAGGAGAGTGAGGATGAACATCAGGAATCCTAGCTGTTATCTTTTTTTTGTCATCTCTAACTTATACCTCACGTGCCAGGATGGAAGCTTGAGTTTCTGCCATTATGTCCTTAATCCAGGCAGCATGAAGAAGAGGTTGTAACCAGGGTTGACATTTGACTGTGACACATCAGCAGAGCTATTATTGTACTAGTGCTTCTGCACTTGGTGATTGTAGAGTGACTTCCTAAATGCACAGAAGTTACACATTTAAGTCTTCATCTGCAAGTTGAAAATAAGTAACTAGAATAACTATTTTATATTTTGAAAATTAAGTGAGTGGGCCTCCCTGGTGGAGCAAGAAGTTAAGTCTCAGCACTGTAAAGCTGTCAGCAGCCACTGCAGCATGAGTTGAATCCCCAGCCAGGGAGCTGACCCGCATGGCATAGCAGACCTCTCCAGACTTGCCTGCTGCTCCCCTCAGCAGTGTATTTCAGTGGATCCACCTGTTCTTTCCATTCTGTCTTTGGTGAATCTTCTCACCCCGGCACCTCTGGCCTTTATCCCAATTCTTTTATGCATAAATAAATACATCTTTTTAAAAAATTAAGTGAGTTACATACATCCTTATTTCTAAAACAAAACTGAGACTCAATAAGTTAGTCATTGTAGCAGTTAGCTGTAAGAAGAAAAAGGTATGATACCAGAACAAAAGACAGTTTTCAAAAAGTCATGGGAGTAATTCAGAGAAGAGCAACATTAGAGGGTTTTTACTCCTGCAGGAACAATGGTAACTTGACTAAAAATGGGTAATAACTTTCCCAGCTAGTAGTCACTTCAAGCAACTGAACTTGTGGATGTGCTTTCAATTCTGTGCTTCTGGAATCATTACTGCTGGAACACATCACTATTCTTCAACTTTGAAGCATGTGTAAGTTATTACTTACTGTGTTTGTTTATGTCACACAGCAGGTCTTGTTCTCTGACTGATGACCTGACCCTTCAGACTGGCCAGTGGCAGGACCCTGAGACCACAGCAGACTCCTCTCAGATGAGCTCGGCCTATCAGAGAGTCTGGGAAACATTTGCAAACCAGTCTAGGGAAGAAAGAGATTTTTTCCTGCTTGATGTTTTTCCTGAAGGCTTTCTCTGGGGTGCCTCCACAGGAGCCTTCAATGTGGAAGGAGGCTCGGCCGAGGATGGAAGAGGGGCAAGTGTCTGGGACCAATTTGGGTACCAGAATGTCACCAAAGGCCAAGCAACCCCTGAGGTAGCCAGCAACAGTTACTACAAGGTGGATTCTGATGTCTCCCTGCTTCGCGGCCTCCAGGCTCAGGTCTACAAGTTCTCTATCTCCTGGTCCCGCATCTTCCCTAGTGGGCATGGGCACAGCCCCAGCCTCCAAGGTGTGGCCTACTACAACAAGCTGATCAACAGTCTGCTAGCCTCGAACATTCAGCCTATGGCCACACTGTTCCATTGGGATCTGCCTCAGGCCCTGCAGGATCATGGTGGTTGGCAGAATGAAAGTGTGGTGGATGCCTTCCTGGACTATGCCAGCTTCTGCTTCTCTACTTTTGGGGACCGTGTCAAGCTGTGGGTCACCTTTCACGAGCCGTGGGTGATGAGCTACGCAGGCTACGGCACTGGCCAACACCCACCAGGCATCTCGGACCCAGGAGTGGCCTCTTTTAAGGTACTGCCCATCCTTGCTGCTACTACATACTAGAGAAGAAAAGACATTGTTCAAAAGAAAGTCTTCAACTCCCAGCAGCAAATCTTTAATTTTTGCCCTTAAAAGATAATCAGAGGGAGGGAAACAGCCATAAATTGTTAGTCACTTTATTTTACCCAAATACTACTGGCACTTTAAACATAGTTATGTCTCCAGAGCAGCAGCAATAGATGAAGGAACTGGGGATACCATTAAGGAAAGTTTTCAAACAAAACATTTCTCTTAAATTCTATAGTATTTCCTTCTTGTCCAGTCTTGGCCTCCTGGCATTTACGGTATAGTTAGTGTGTATTGTCTTGGGTGTTTTTGTTTTTACCACACTTTTCTTTTTTTAGAGTCGTTTTAGGTTCACAGAAAAACTGAACACCAGGAATATCTATTTTCTCTTCCTGCACATACACACTCACAAATTCCCCTTGTCAATCCCTCCCGCCTGAGTGGAAAGTTTATTACAGCCCAGGAGCCTACACAGCTACCTTATCACCACCCTAATGCTCAGTTGCAATCACGATGGTTGTTTCTGATGGTTGCCCAATATTCCAGTGGGAACACTGCCTTATACTGACTTGTTTAAAAGGGAAGCAGTCCTGGTTTTTTTTGTTTGTTTTAAGATTTATTTATGGGGTACAGGCCAGAGGTGCAGGAACCAACAAAGAGGAATCACCAGAGACAAAGGGGGAGCAGAACAGGCAGATCGATGAAGTACACTGCAGACGAGAGCAGAGGGCAGGTCAGGAGAGGTCTGCCACTCCATGTGGGTCACCTCTGGGGCAAGGATCAAACTCAGTACTTAAGGGGCTGTGGCTAGTTTGTAGTACTGTGCTTTTAATTGGTTGTGCCACCAGGGAGGGCCAGCAGTCCTGATTTTTGGAATGGAGGACATTTTTGCTGTTGTAGGACATTTTGTTGTTTGCCCAATTAGGAACTGGGCATGAGAACAGCCTGGAGTTTGACTTACACTGTATAGACTGCTGAGTATACATGAGTTGTTACCGTGGTTGTTGATGCCAGTATTTACTCATGATTTTATTGATGACAGTGATAACAGTTAACAGAATTTTCTGGGTTCTGTGCCAGTTGCACCCAGTTTCAGTTGTGTGAGCTTATGAAAGGGGGCATGGTGTGAGCACACAGGTTCTACATGGCACTCTGTCCCTTAGCAAAGACAAATCTCAGGTGTAAATCGTATTTGTAGGCAATGAGGCTTGTATTTGCATTTTATGAAAGTTCTTGATTTCTGCTTATTTCTAAAGAGAAAAAAGCCCTGACACCCCCACCTTGCCCATCCCTCTCCCTGCCAGCCCCTTTATTCCTTTCCCAGTGAAGGAAGGACTTTAGAAATCTAATTTTCAAAGGCAAAGTAACAGCTTCCAGCTGTGCAAGTATGTAGAGTGGTATGGTTGTGCAGTACCCAGTTGTAGTGAAAAAATGCACAAGGGACCTCAAGGGATGTCCCCAAACCCATCTTTCCCCACAGGTGGGTGAACACAGGCAGTGTTCCATCATTGGTAGGATACAGGGGAGGTGTAAGGTATGTTGGGGCCACTCACACTGCCCACTGGGCTGGGCACTTTGGTTGGCCTCCTAGGAAAACACCAAACGTGGAAGGGATCTTGGATGTAGCTCCACCTCTGAGCTCAAGATGCATGCATTTTCCTGTCTCAAGTCTTCATGTGACAGCTTTAATTAACTTACATCTATGTCACCTCCAACCTCCAGACAGCTGGATGAATCCTACTAAGGCTTCCCCTCCCCACACCCATATCATTAGTTGATAGGTATGAGTTGATTGGGTGAAGCTGGGGACCAGCAGGGATATTTTTACTGGGCCAAGTAGCCACTGTGGAAACAGCAATAAAAACCAGTTACCTAAGAAAATGTTGGTGTTATCTTAATGTCATAATTGCTTACATTGGTGACATCAACATCCATATTGTAGACTTTTGACATTGTTACAGCTGTTTTTGACTTGATATCATTGACAGTAGTGTAGCTGGTACTGATGTTGGCATTGTCAGTGTTGCTGTTACCAACTTGCCTTATTGGCAGTGGTGCTGACAATGCTGTCATTGCCTTGTTATTGACCTGGCGCTGTTACTGACATTACTGTTGTGGTCACTCAACAGTTTTCTTTCTTCCTTCCTCACCAGGTGACTCACTTGGTCCTCAAGGCCCATGCCAAAGCTTGGCACCATTACAACAGCCACCATCGCCCACAGCAGCAGGGACGTGTGGGCATTGTGTTGAACTCAGATTGGGCAGAACCCTTGTCTCCAGAGAGGCCCGAGGACCTGAGAGCCTCTGAGCGTTTCTTGCACTTTATGCTGGGTTGGTTTGCACACCCTATCTTTGTGAATGGAGACTACCCAGATCCCCTGAAGGCCCAAATCCAACAGCTCAACAAACAGTGCTCGAGTCCTGTGGCCCAGCTTCCTGAGTTCACCGAGGCAGAGAAGCAGCTCCTGAAAGGCTCTGCCGATTTTCTGGGTCTGTCCCATTATACTTCCCGCCTCATCAGCAAGGCCCCTCAAGATACCTGCAACTCCAACTATGATACCATTGGAGGCTTCTCCCAACATATGGACCCTGAATGGCATCAAACCTCATCCCCTTGGATTCGTGTTGTGCCCTGGGGTATAAGGAGGCTTTTGCAATTTGTATCCTTGGAGTATACAAGAGGAAAAGTTCCCATCTACTTGGCTGGGAATGGTATGCCCACAGGGGAGAGTGAAGATCTCTTTGATGACTCCTTCCGAGTAAACTACCTCAATCAGTACATCAATGAAGTGCTCAAGGGTAAGAACAGTAGCTATGATGATGACTGAAAGGTGGGTGGTACTTCCTTAAGCCAATTTAAGGAATGAAGTTTCTCAGGAAGCCCAAAAGTATATGTAATAATCTCATGAATTCTTTACATCAGCTTCACAATCTCTTCCCCTGAGGTCATTGCTACTCTTTCTTATTTCCTACTCTTCTGAGTCTTACCTCTTCATAAACCTTATTTTTTAAAAGATTTATCTGTGCATATAAGAATTGGGATACAGGCCAGAGGTGTAAGGGGATGGTGAGAGGATTCACCAGAGACAGAGTGGGGAGCAGAACAGGCAGATGAACTGAAATAACTGCTGAGGGGAGCAGTGGGTGAGAAAGGAGAGGTCTGCCATGCCACGGGGGTCACCTCCCTGACTGGGGATTGAACTTGTGCCACTGTGGCTGGCCATAGCTTGATAATGCTGTGCTTGAACCCACTGCACCACGAGGGAGGGCCCCCAAACCATATCTCTTAATACATTTATTGAACAAATTTTGTGTGCTTGTTGTGTATATGATACAGAGTGTGATGTTAAACATATATCATACTTTGCCAAAGGGAACTCGGTCTACAGAGGAACAAAGAAAATCGCAATACAGGATAATGGCAGTACAGGGCAGCATCAGGACTCCAGTCCATCACATCTTCTCTCCTTGCTCCGGACACATTGATCTCTACCTTCTTTAGGTGGTTATAACATTCTGCATGAATCACTTTGATTCAGTCTATATATCTATAGTCATACTTTTACCTAGTATATATATGCAGGACATACATATTTATTTCAAGTAAAAAGGAATAGCAAGGGACCTCCCTGATAGCACAATGAATTGGGGTGCAGCACTGGGAAGCTAGCTAAAGCCCTTTACAAGTTTAATCCCCACTAAGGAAGGTAGACCACATGGCATGGCAGACCTCTCCTTACCCTCCCGTTCTCTTCTCAGCAGTGTGCTTTGTCGATCTGCCTATTCTGCACCCCATTCTCTCTGGTGAATCCTCTCACCTCCCCTGCACTTCTGGCCTGTACCCCAGTTGTGTATGTATAAATAAATCTTTTAAAAAGTAAGCAATAGCAAGTAGGTGTTATTTCAGGTGTCAATTCTAATCAATTGATAATGGCCAGTTCTCTACCTAGAGAGCTCTGTTGGCCAGATTTAAGGGCTTGTCTAGATTAGGTGAGAAAGAGCTGGACGTGATACCTGGCACTACCTGAGATGCACCTGTTGCCTGAGATATCTGAGCCTGAGATGCACCTATTGGTGTGGTCAGACACCCCATCTGTACTTTACTGTACTAGGCATCAATTCTGTACTGTTACTGACTCTTGAAATTCCTTAACACATTATCTAAAGTAAACCTGGAAATAGCTTTATACTGTGAGCAGAGGCAGTAAGAGCTTTAAGGAAAGACTGGGAACCCATGCTCTGAGAGAGTAAGTGGCAGGCCCAAATGGCCAGTGAGGAAGCCACAGTCTTCTGTTCTGGCCCAGCTCTTTGCCACTAACAGAGTTTTTACTCATCTCTTTGTTCCCAGGGTGGAGCACAGCTCAACAAAATAGGTGCTCACTAAATTAGTTATTGACTGCATGAGCAGCTTGACCTACCTCTTGTCATTGGTGAGAGGCTGTATAAGCTGATAAAAGAGGGACTTGTCTACTGGCTCCAATAGAAATGCCTCAGCCACTGCCTGTTTTGGCTCTAGTACTTGGTCAACACACTACACTGTTCTTTATTCTTTTGCAGATGAGAGATCTGACATTGAGATGTCCATAGGGATACTCTCTGCCAAGTATCCAGGGGAGACAGATTCTGGTGT